CCCCCAACGCCACCTCCGAAGGTGCAGCCTCCTCCCCGGCCGGCCGGGTCCCCGCCGCCCCTGCCCGGTCCGCGCCTGCAGCGTCCTCGTCGGGCCCGGCCCAGCGCCACTTTCCTGCTCCCGACCGCTTTGTCACCCCACGTTACTACCCGCGCCCTGGTCCTCCGCCTCATCGCTACACCGCTTTCTGTGACTGAATGATTTACTCGGCTCTGCCCGGCTTTCCCGGCCCCACATGGAGGCGATTCTCCCATCCTTGGTCCCACTTTGGGATGGCCGTGAGGTCCCCTTTCCCTCTCTTAATTCAACTCAGAGAGCCTCGCCTAGGCCCCTCCCTTTCTTGCCGAGTGCCACCCACACGACACCCTCGCGATTTAATTCCCCCTCCACTGCCCCAGCCAGCGCCTCCGTTACTCCGTCCTTCAGCCCGGCTCTGCACCTGTCCGCACCCCATCCCGCCGACCACGCCCTGCTGTCCCCCGCAGCCCGGCATGCCTCCCTCCCATCGTGCTCCTCTGTGTGCCTCCCCCACCCGCCCCCAGGTTGCCAGATCATACACCCGCCCTGGGAAGGGGGCATCCGGTACCGGGGCCTGACTCGCGACCAGGTGAAGGCCATCAACTTCCTGCCCGTGGACTACGAGATCGAGTATGTGTGCCGCGGGGAACGCGAGGTTGTTGGGCCCAAGGTGCGCAAGTGCCTGGCCAACGGCTCCTGGACGGACATGGACATCCCCAGTCGCTGTGGTGAGTTGCCCGGGGGCCCCTGCTCCCTGGAGACCTTTCCTTTTCCTGCTCCAACTGAGCCTTACTGCTTGCAAGTCAGGACTTTAAATTTAGTGTGGCCAAAGTCACAGATGCATTTGGTGAACGATTACTACTGTTTGCAAGAGGGCTGCTGCTGTGTGCACTTGGAGGTATTAAAGCCAGCAGTGCGCACATCTCATCTTCCTGTCGTTAGGCTCCTGATCACTGGATTGAAATAATTACTCATTTTACGGGGTAGCAGATAATCCGAAAAAAAAGTGAAAACATTTCACTACATTTCCTAAGAAGTGTGACAGCGACTCAGAGACGGTATGCCCAGGAACCCAAAGCGAGTTTGATATTAGCATAAACCAACCATGGTAAGAAAAGCAAATCTGATTGTGCCCACAAAGTTATATACAGTACAGCTACACATTTCACAGGCAGGGAACCACCCACTGTGGCAGAGGAGAGGAGGTCCCATTTTGTGTGCTTAGAGCTCCATCTTGGGTTCCTGCTGTGGAAATGCTGTTTTCTGTTTTGGGACTGTGGGTGCTGCAGGGTTAAGGCAGGAGTGGAAGGTAGGGATGCACGTCCTGTTGACACCTGGTTTTCTGTAGAGCAGGTGCCTGTGGATCCAAACCCACACTTGCTCTCGTGGGAGGTGACCTTCTCCAACTCCCGCTTTCTCAATCTCTTTCCACAGTTCGAATCTGCTCCAAGTCTTACTTGACCCTGGAAAATGGGAAAGTCTTCCTGACGGGTGGGGACCTCCCAGCTCTGGACGGAGCCCGGGTGGATTTCCGGTGTGACCCCGACTTCCATCTGGTGGGCAGCTCCCGGAGCATCTGTAGTCAGGGCCAGTGGAGCACCCCCAAGCCCCACTGCCAGGGTGAGGGGAACAGCTGCCCGCATGCAGCTGATGAGGACGCTTGGATGATGGGAGTGGGGGGAGCGGGGGGGGTGCTGTGAAAAGTGTGGGGGGCTTGGAAAGGCAGAGGTGAAAGCCCAACTCTTCCCACCATCCACCTGCCTCAGACCTCCTCCTGCAGCCCCCAGTATCCGTTCAACCTACAGTAGTGGCTTCTTTCCTTTTCTCTTTTTACATCTTGTTTCTGCTCCCAGTTCTTGGGCCTTACGTTTTATTTTCTTTTGCGAATCCCACCCTATCTCACCTCCTTAAGGTTTAAATACTCCAGTTTTCCCTAACTAATCCCCTTTCTCTAAACTTAGAACTTCGTCAGCATCACCTTCTTTTAGAATTGACTCTCCACCATTCAAGAGAGAATTATTCTACAAGAGAATTACTATAAAGATTCAGAATTAATTCCTACATTGTTTTCATAAAAACTGATAGCCTGGTTCGCATGCCTGTAATCCCAGCTCTCTAGGAGACTGAGGCAGGAGGATTACAAGTTCAAGTCCACCCTGGGCAACTTAGAAATGATTTAGTGAGATCCTGTCTCCAAAAAAAAAAAAAAGTACTGAGGATATAGCTCAGTGCAAAAGCCCTGGGCCCCCGTACAAAACAAACCACAACAATTTGATAAGGGACCTGCGAGTGTAAATGTATTAGTGTAAAGCAACTGAAAATAGGGGAACAGCTCAGGAGCGGGGTGGAAGAGATCAGTTCTCCTCCCTCCACCAGCCTCCGTCGTTCTCCAGGGACGCACCTGTGGCACCTGCCGCTTTTCTTGCCATCTAGCTTTGCAGACTTTGCCCTTTTCCGGGACGTGAACTGTCTTGTAGTGCTTTCTCCTGAGATGCAGCTCCGTTTCCCGGCTTCGTGCTTCCTCCCCTGTAAGGAACTTTCAAGAGCCCAGGCCTGTCAAGTTATTCTCCTCCTAGTTTATTGCTCCATTCTGGAAATACGGGGACCTCTTCAGGGATGGGTTTCGCATGGAGCTACTGAAACTTAAGCTTCGCTTCTTTTTTTTTTGCCTTTTGAGACAGGGTCTCACTATGCAGTTTAAGCTGGCCTTAAGCTCACTTTGTTCCTGCCTCAGCCTCCCGAGTGCTGGGATTAACGGGTGTGCACCACCACGCTGGGCCAAGCTTCGCTTCCTTACATGCCCTTCTGTTCTAGTAACATAGACAGCTCTAAGAATACTGTCATACATAGAAACTGACTTTTGTAAAAAACTGCAAAAATATGGTGTTTTTACAGCACTTGCTGAAAGCCAATTGAACTTATAATATTTCTGCTTAGAGACCCCCAAAACCAGAATCTGCCTTGGCCTTAGCTGTTGGTGCCGGTCTCAGATTCTGCTGTCCTATGAAAAACGAAGAAACGACACCGTCCTGACCCCCAGCCCCACCTTGCTCTTATCCTCAGGCACCCTCCCCTCTGAAGCGCAGGCTTCTGCTCTCCCCAGTCTCCGACGGACAGGTGTGGGAGGGGGCTGGGGCGCAGGCCTGGGAAGCCGGGCGCCCTGGTAACTCTTCTCTGATCCGTCTTTCCTGCTGCCAGTGAACCGAACGCCACACACAGGTGAGATGGGACACCCGCACAGCAGCCCCTTCCTTCCCCGCTCACAGGAACCCTGCCCCGGGCTGTGGGTGCGCCCTCCGCCCCTCCTCGCACCCACCCGTGTGCAGCCTCCACTTTTCTCCCCGTTTCCGGCCTCCAGTCCGGTTTCCCGAGCTGCGGCTCCTCCCTCCTCCCTGGCTGGCTCGCCCCCGGGGTGCTCCTTCTCCCAGCCGGTGGGCGCGCCCCGCGGCGGACAGGGGCGACGCGCGGGGAGGCCCCAGCGTCGCCGGTCTGGCTGCGGGGTCTGCCCGCCTCCCGCTGGGATCCCACCGAGTCCACGCCTTCCCCCTCCCCCGGCCCTCCTGGCCGGGCTGCGCGCCCACTCCCGTGCTCCTCCGTGCCCCGCGCCGCTCCCCGTCCTCCCGCACGTCCGTCTCCAGGCCCCTTGCTCTCCCTGTTGCCTTGCTCTCCCTGTTCCTTCGCCCCAGCCCTCCCGTGGGCCGCTGCCTCTCCAGAGTTTCTCCCTAGCCAGCGCGCCCGTCCCGCTCCCTCCGCGCTCCTCCCCCGGGCGGAACCGGCCCCTCGGGGCGGGGGTCCGCCCTCCCCTCCC